TTCAAAATTTGGAAAAAAACATTTTTATTGATACAAATTCCGCATTCAATATCGAAGACCATGTTCTGGTCGAAAAGAAAGCAATAAAGTCTCAAAATTCAGAATGAATTTGAAAAAACGTACCAATAGCACACTGTATCCGAGACCGAGGTTGGAGCGGTGTTTTTACGCGAGCTCTTCAAGCCCCTCATGAGCTCTAAATCAATGAAATGAGAACAAGATTAACTCAGGTTCTACGGTTAGGTCACTCCTGATGACTGAAAGTTGAATTTTATACACATTATGCAGAATATCAAGATGGCGATTGCTAGGGAAAGTAAAAACAGCTACAGAAGATGAAACATTTATAAAGGCAGGGCCTTAATTTAATAGTCCAAAATCTAACAAAACTAGGCTAACTTCTTCATAGAACTCCCTGCTAAGAACGAGCAACTCCGACTTAATCAAAAAAAAACGAGCAAAATGATCCACCTAAAGTTGAAAATCAACTTAATAACTCACCGCTAAGGATAAAAAAGTGAACAAATTCTGCTTCCGCACCAAAAAATTGGAAATTTTAGCCGTCGTTCTCGGGTTGTCGCCGTTGCACTACAAGCAAAATTACGCGCGTAATCTTGGATCTCTGTGTATTTTTTACAGCGAGAAAGTTTCCACTTCACGCCGAGCAATAAATCAATTCTCTTTTTTCTGCTCATTCACTGATTGAGTCGATTTTCTTGAATTTATAGATCGAGCATTTCAGGGCCATGACTGGGCAAGAACCTGCCATAATTGACCGAATATCTGATGCTTCAAGAAAGGTAAGGAGATAAACGCATAAAACGCGGGCTAAAAACATCACTTATATTTACAGGCGACAAATGCTATAGGAGATTGGTGGCATCGTGTAAGTGCCGAAAATCGTCCACCTGCCAATCCAGCAGATTTGGTTCCAGTCAAAAGTGTGAGAACTGATTTTGCTCTAGCCAAAGCAAATTAGTTTAATTTCGACATGTAATCAAATTCTAGCTACCAATATATAATGACCCCAAGCCCGAAAAACGGTATAAATTTGTGGTCGAGGAGCCTCTACCTTTGCAGAATGGAATTTCTCATCTACGACATGCATTTGAAACCGAATACGAAAGGCTAGCGGTATGGACTTACTAAACACACTTCTATTCTCAGTAAAACACTGGTCGAGTCGTTTTTAGAGCAGGTTCAGGACCGTTGATAAGACTGTGTCAAAATCGAAAGTTGCATTGACGAAAACTAAAAATTACCTAGAAGATGAGTGGACGGTCCTACCGAAAGCTGCTGCTATCACTATAGGAGGCATGGCTGGTTTCGTACTTGGCTTGAAGAGGTGAGCTGCTGTGATTTGTTTCCAAGAAAATTCTTTTTTTCCTGTCGTCCTTTTTGTTTGCATATCATGATCA